GGATCTTGGACTATCAGAATCGCCAACCTCAAAATGATGGGTAAATTTCGGCCCTCTCATCATCCTTATGATGAAAGTGACTGGGAGAGTGACTCCTTTGAGACCAAGCCACCAAGAACTCCTCGTTGTATAGAATTAATGCTCCCTCAATCATCATCGGGCGAACAAAAAATTCTCTCCATTGAGCAGAGGCGAAATGGTGTGATAGAAGCTGATTCGGGTGGGGGTGATAGGATAATCGAAGTCCACCGTGATATGGAAGAAAAGGTGGAGCCGTCGAGTCCTAGATTGCTGGTCAGACCGTGATCATCAATTGACAGATACCATTGTTCACAGGAAATTGGCGGGTATGTAGTATCACAAAGTTGGGCTCAATTTGACAAAAATACAACATCAGTCAGCACAAAGACATCATTTGGTTCTAACCCTAGCCTTCATATCCCAGAACTCACAAACTTTCCCTAATTGCACTGTTATATCTTATACGCCAGTCGCGGTGCACCCAACATGCCACCAGACTTCACGCTTCCGGATTTCTTCATAGGAGTTTCCTCGTTGAAGACCCTCTCATCCTGAATGTCCCCAATGCGTGAAAGCTTGCTGGATCTGGTGACGCGTCCGGGAGCAGTCTGGGTAGTTTGTGCAGAATGCCCGGTAACTGAAGAACAGGCGTCAGGTTCTTCGTTCTCTGATGGAGCGGAAGGGGTGATTGGGGAGTTCAGAAACTTCCTGGTGGGTGTAACAGTCCACCGCAGATAAATTGACAAAATCTCTTGTAAAGATTCAGCCAGGGTAGGATGTTGACTTTGATATTTTTCATCATCAGCGAGCTTCAGGGCAGCATTGTAAATAACGAAGTGGGGGCGTAAATGAGACCCAATTATGGGTAAGTCATCAAACGGGTGCACGATGGTGCGGAAGAAAGCAGGTGACATTGGAGGATCTTGATTTATTTGTAGATGAATCGGGACAGAATCCATCTGTCGCAGAGGCACAAACCTGTACCTAAATATTTCCCCCGGCTAAAATTTGGTGCAAGTCGAGGCAGCTGCAGTGTCAAGATAATGGAACATACCTCATATTTTGGGAAAACAGCTCCACACCGGAAAAGAGCAAGAGTGTCATCATCGGGAAGCAAGAGCCAGTTGTCTTTATCGAGAAGGCTATGGAATTTTGCGCCGACTGAAATAAGCGAAATGTAAGGGTGTGCAAGAGACATCTGGAATTCGCGGAATGACGTACGGAGACAAAGGTTTTAACGTGTGTGGACGTTGAAAGTTCCACGTTCCATGCGCTGGCATGCACATTCTAATTTGTCAAGCTGTAATAAAAAAAAAGTCGTTGAGCAGCAGCAATCGAAGGAAGAGGCATACTAGTTGTGGATTTCTCGTAGCCTGTGGAACCAGATGCGCGTATTCAAGCGCATTGCAAGAGTCGGTATTTTCCACTAAACACCCGGCCCGCCGCCCCGCTGGTGCCGCCTTCCAAGTGCGCGTTTTTGCGTTTGAGGTGTGCCGCTCTTTTTTTCAACACATTTCCCTGGAGTGTCGTTTTTGTCCATTGGCGACACTTTCGAGATATGCGTTGGAGAAAGTTGCCTCTTATCATCGCATCTCATCTATGTACTTATGATCTTTTGAGAACAATGGCGAAGTTTAGGTGGAGTCCAAATGAACTCAGAGATATTTACGTAACGTGGCT